TAAACGGCTGCAAAAAAACGTTGTTATTTGCATAACTCAGTTACTTTTTTGAAGAAGTAACTATATAATTAATTGCCCAATATTGGTCATTATATACTGTATTTTGCAGACAGAGTCTCTCCCAGACGACAGACTCATACTCATAATACAAGTCAGAGCTTTATATTAAAAAAGAGAGAAAGTTGTGTTTTCAAAATTGGGGTCCAAGTTATTTTTACTTCCAATAGTGTTAACATACTACACAGGCCATGAACAACATTTTTTTTTTTTTAAATTTTCATTGTAAGTGGGCTAAAGCAGTTAATTAAAAGTAGTCTAACATTAATGTAAATGCTGTAATTTGATTATTTTAATAAACCATGTAACTTGGATGCTGGCGTGACCACAGTGCACACGTCTGCTGTTGCTCACAGTGGTCCAAGGGACCGCTCAGGGAGTTTGTGTGTTCGCTCAGACGCATGAAAAATTAGAAGGAACATTGCTCAACCCTTCCCATTTATCTGGGCTTGGGGCCGCCACTTGGAGTACACTGGCTTGTGGCCCTCCTGTAACTGAGCTCAGAACACCTAATCATAAAACTTCCAAATATTAGTGTGAAAGGAAAGGTTGCTTGTATCACATGACTTTTTTTTTTTAAATTGGTGATTTAGAAGTCTTACTCTTACTTTCTATTAACTATGATTTTCAGTACCAAGGCACTTGGCGAGGTTTTTAGGAAATAGTTATCTTGGAAGGATTCAATAGTCTTTCCCTTCTAAGTATGCACTGGACATGTAATGTCTCTGAGTAACAGAGAAACAAAGCTAGGTTTCGAAGAATATCAGGGGTTATAGACTTTGTCAGGATGGAAGAGACCTTAAATTATTTGAAAATGAGTCTCCCTGAACAGGCTTTGCTAATGTCAGCTTCTGTGAGTGCAGTCACACTCAATTCCTCCTCAACATTTTGTCTGTTTAGGCTGCTGGGTTCCTCCCCTGGGTCTCACTCCAGAGTGTCCCCTAAGAAATGTGTTAGTGGTAGTGGTAAGTGCTGCCTGCAGGAAACCCTTCCTCTCTTTCTCTCAGCCAGACCACAGCCACACTTTACCTCGGCAGTGTGATAAAATTGTCTCGCCAGACATGTTTAGCACAAATAAGCTCTGAAGCAGAGAGTGTCCCCACCAGAGTAGCATTGCATCTGCTATAAAGGTCAAAAAAGAGTGCTGCAGTGCTGCAATGAGAGGACATATTTTTCATTTATAGTTTTTGGTTTTTGGAGGGTATCATACCCTAAATACCTCACTGCTGCTTGCTAACTGGCTGCAATCACTGTACATTGTCTAATATGGTTAAATAAGAAGGTGTGAGTATTTAATCGGGCTCCCAATTCAAACTGATAACCGTAAAAGCTTTTGGATACATTGTTGTATCATATCAATACATGCCTGTACATGAAGTTGGACTGCAAATGAAGGAAGAATGTGGACATTAAATGATACAGAATTGAAAAGTTGAATCTTGTCAGGTGGAAAAAGCATTTCAATTAACAAAGGACAACTTTTTTGCTGCAAAATATGTTTTTTATTGATTGCATTGTGGCAGAATGATACCATCAGCATTAATATCCAGTGGCTGCAAATAATTTCCAGGAAAATGAAGGTTTGATTGCGCAGCAAAAACAGGAAGAGGAATGGCAATTTTCATTTCCTTCTTAGCTGTTGGTCACATAATCTCCACAGCTGAAAAGTGTTTTTTAAAGCTTTAAATAATTTGTAGCTCACCTGGTAGAGCGTGCACTACATGTACCAGAGGAAGAGAGCTTACCATAGTGGCCTGCATTCATTTCTGCCCCAGGTCCTTTTCAATCATTTCCCCTTTTCCTCTTCACCTTCCTGTCTTTTTGTTCTTTTTTAATAAAATCTTCAACAGCAGTTTTAAGAAGAAGTGTGTGTGTGTGTGTGTGTGTGTGGGGGGAGTGTATCAAATGCACCTAAAAATAGCTTGCATTAAAAATAGTATATCTTTTGTTGTATAATGAAAACTTCAAGAGGACAAATGCATCATAAAGCAAATTTAAGTAATATGTGGGAAACATTAACTGTTGGAAAAATGTTAATGGTGGATTTTAATGTTTCTCCAGCTCTCCTTCTGTGAGCGTGCCTGGCTACTCAAGCAGACTTTGCAAGAGAGCCCTCTACAGTTATTTCCTCAAAGTTGCACAGCTGGGTGGGCACTCCTATCTGCTGGAGCTTCCCACGTACCACAGTGTCAAGGTTTGTGAATCCTCAGTGTGAACTGTGCAAAGCTTTCCATTTGATGAGTAATAGAAGGTTGGGTTTTTAGTTCCCTTATGTGATGTCTGATGATGTAAATGGTTTTATTCTTTTATAGGTGGAAGCCAGTGTCTACCAGACGGTCAAAGAGCTGGTGAGACAGCAGTTCCTGGAAAACCACGCAGGACCGTGGAATTCCAAAAAGCTGGTGGATTGCTTTAGCGCTTGAACTCGCAGCTGGAAACCTGTCATGCCGATGTTTACCCAAGTTCCTTGAGAGATTTGATTTGCTGTTCTTCTCTGCACTTTGCTAATTACCTTCAACAGTAATTGTAGTTTTGTTTTATGTACGACATTAGAGTTTTCAGTTTGTGTAGGTGTTTGAGAAAAATAAACAAGGCCCTGCTGTTGTGCACCAGACTGAAGGAGTCAGTTTGAATGAGTTGTGGGTGGAAACACATCGCTCAAAGGCTAACAGTGCACAAAATGGGGAACATTTTCTGTTGTGTCAAGTAGAACTGAGCAACATTATTGCCAGAAGCTTGAAAATTAACAATTCCTTTTATGGAGCTCGTGTTATGAAAAGGTAACTGTGTGCGTTTTTTTTATTTAATATTACTGCCATTCACTATTTTCAACATTTGACCTTTTTTAAATGTGAATTATTTCATTTATTTTTTGTGCATTTGTAGCCAAACTAAGTCCAGTCAGAGGGTAAAATCAGCACCCGAAGAACCAAAATAAGGTCTGTAATGAGGTCCATGTGTTCTCTTGGTTTTAATAGTAACTTAAGATGAAGTAAAATGGAGAAAAATAAATGTTTTCTTTAGTTTTAAATGTTAGATATTAACACATGTTCTCTGTATGCTTTCTATTGCACAATGTGTTGTTGTTTTGCACGTGTATTAATTAATCAGGAACTTGTACAGCTCAAAAACTACAACTTCAGAATTTACCTGTCAATTCAATCAACACCTCTCTTGTATTCTGGAAGTGAAAGGTGAAGCGTGGCAGAACTGTCACCAGCTTTTTTGCAGATGCAAAGGTGAGACAGGCAATATAAAACAAAAAGATCCTTAGTAAGCTCTCACACATCGTGCTGGGAGATGGATAAGTTGTGACTCCACATTGCTACAAGCCCGTCTCAAAGAATGGCAGCTGCATAATTAAAGCATACACAGACTGCGCTAGTTTAAAAACACTTGTTTCCATAGGCTCTCTGAAATGAGCAGCAGAGACGTCCATAGTTAGACTAATTATTCAGAAACATCATATGTTGATCAGAACAAAGGTGTCAGAATTTACACAAACAAAATGGCACTCGCAGCCACGAAAAAATAAAGTGTGGTGATCTTTCCGTCTGTGAGCTGATTGAGGGATGGTTGTGGAGTTGTTTGGTTTGAGAACAGTTTCTGGCAAAAGAAATTAGGATAAAGATGAACACAGTGAGACTTCTGTCATCTTAAATTTAATACTTTTTTTTTTTTTCTTACACAAACTGTGTGGTACCACGGTTCATTGTCACCATGGCTCCACTCACCAGTTGCTTGGCAACCAACTCCTCCTTGGAACTGATGCAACTGCTCGTGTCTCCATAATTACAGGCTCTTTTACAATATTTAGCAAAAACAAAAACAATAGAATTGCATGAAAAACAATATCTAATGAAGCTGCAGCGATGCTTGCAGTTTAATTTGGTCTGACATCGCATGGATTGCATCTGTGGTTATCCTGAATTAAAGTACACTATGCTTAGACTGTGTGTGTAGTTGTGGTATATAACAGCTGCTTAAAACTTTGGGATCACTTTTCAGTGTGCCTGATTCTAAAATAAAAGCATATTTGTTTTTGTTTTGTTTTTAATCTAAAATAACATTTAAGCAGAGAAGAATTCTGAGTGACATTTATTTATTCTAAATTATTGAGGATTTTAATGGAATAACTAAATACACTTTGTTTCTGTGGTCCAGTGGCATGCTGGGTTACTTACATGTATATAATTTAAAACGATCATTAGAAAAATAATTTGCACAGCAGAAATTGGTTATGCTGGTTAAAACATTGATTTATCTGGCTAGTCATGTGTGTACAGTATCAGCCTTTGGGTTGGGTTATAGTCTCAAATAAACAAAATTCTCTCTGTTACGGTTCTAATAATTTAGTCCATGTGGGAAAGTGCCGAATAATTAAAGATTTTGTACGACGATGTGCTCGCCTTTATTCTCAGAACAACACAAAGGAGGGGAAAAAAAGAGGCACCAGTACTCAACTGATCAAGAGCAGAAGGGCATCACAGTCCTTAGACTGAGTAACAGATCATCAGCAGGCAGCCTCATTAAATGTTACCCGCAAGTGCCGTATCGTGCTGGTTAAGAAAGGGACTGTGGAAACTTCTGGGTCTTGTTTTGTTTTTGTTTGTTTTTTTATTTGACTCTGACCCTCATGGAATAACTTTCATTTTGTAAAATATGTCCACTCTGGAAAGTTTCAGAATTTAAAAAAACACAACAACACGTCATTCACACAGTTTGATGCTGCAGACACACAAATCGCTACAATAATTAAACGCGATAAAACCGCATTAGGTTGAAGCAGTGCTGTATCAGTGGTAGTTGCTAAACATTGAATCAGTTGACGTTATTGATTTATTTAATAATAAATATTTGCAAAATTTCTGATCAGTTTCATGTTACATGGCTAAAAACACTGAGACAAATCTTTAGTGGTAGTCAATGTGTTGCGCTCTTCTTTATTCTTGCTGGTGAAGCATGTGATTCCTCCAGCCAGGTGTTAGGCTCACCCCTCTGCAGGAAGGCGGACCTCCCAGACCCAAAGGGCTTCTCTGAGGTTGAGGAAGCGCCAAGGAATTCATAAAAAGGCCTACAAGATAATTAAACATCTGTGAGCAATTCAGAGGTGTGAAAAACCTGTGTGTGAGAGAAGAATGTATACCTGGGAGTTTAAACTGAAATTGAGCTGTCAGATGGTTGACGGAAACCTTTTTAAGGAATAACAGACATGTCCTTTTACTTGTGTCTAAACCAGCTTAATTACAAAGCCTGGTAATTATTTAACGTTGGTGCAGTCTCTTTAATGTAAGCAGTGACCTTCAGTGTGAATTTTGGCAGCTGAATGCAACGGTGATCTGTGCTCATCATTTTACTTTAAGGAGCCTGAATCTAAACACGATGAACTGTAACTTTTAATTGTAAGCTTAAATGTCTTATAACAGATTAGAGCCAAGGAAGTTTAATGTCAACAGAGGAAAGTCCACCGAAGAATGAACGTCTCACGAAATGTCATCATGTACTTAATTTATCTTGCTCATAATAAGTGTACTGAAATGTCTTGACCGAATCATAGTTATGAGTTTAGTCAGGACGTGTGGTGCCTGGTTTTCTCACCCAGGTCTGGTCTCTTGCAGGATGAATCTCGCTGGCTGTAGTTGGAGGAAGCTGACGTGCTATCTGTGGAGGAGGACTTAGTTGAGCTGACTGATGGTCTTAATGCTCCCGGAGGATTTGTTTTGGGCTTTGCCTGAGCTCCAATCGAAGCCGAGTTGCTCCATTCTGGACAACAGTGGCAGACAAGTAATGTAAGTGAAGCCCAAAGTAGTGTTTGCTGCTTTGCTTTCATTGCAAGTTACCCCATAAGTTGAACTTTTAACAGCACCAAACAAAACAAACAGATTTGTTAGATTGAGTGTGATCGAGTCTTTGCATAGTATCAGTATCATGTACTCATTTCAGTACTACTTTATGAGCCTCGACAAAAAGGTCGCCATAAAAGTAACTGAACTGAATTGATGAGGTCACGCTGTGTTACGTGTGGGTCTCATACCAGAGTGCTCCTCAAGTCGAAAACGTCCAAAGCAGAGGTGAATCCTCCACTGTTTCCTGACATTCTCCTTCATTAAACAGTGGAAGAAAAATATGAAAAGTCCTGCAGCAAATAGAAAAGTAAGAAAAGGTCGTGAGCTCAAGAAGATTAGATAAGATCTGGGTTTGTAGCTCTTTGTTCCTCGCGCAGGTATTTCTAATTTTCTCTGGAATAATTTCATATAGAGAAGTAAACAGCGGTGGTTGCTTCACTCTAATATACAAAAGAAAGTATTATAAGAGAGACCAGTAGAGGTGAAAGCTGTTGTGAAATGGTTGCATCATTTGGCTGTTTGAAATCTTCCTTTTCATCTTTTTTTTTCCCCTCATCCGAGCTTCTTTTGAACTCCGGTTGCAAAGCGGGTTGTTGTGGAAAACTGCACACGTGGTTAGCAAATTTTCACACAATAAATAAATCCACAACAACACCCAAAAGGTCGTCTTCTTAAAAGTAAAGCACCATCTTTTTACAAGTCTGTGCGTGTTTATAATGTTTGATCTTTGGCATATTACACTATCCTTACTTCTGAAAATAGTTTTGACTGACTGAAAAGAACTAACACAGCCAGGTGTTCATGTCAGCTAATAAAGACACACTTGGCTGACCGAGACGTTAAGTATTCAAAAAAACTGCAACAGATTGAGGCTAAACAGTTAGTTATATGGGAAAAAATAAGCTTGATGACTTTCAAACTTAAGATAAAATTCTATCTGGACGTTATCGAGCTTTCATTAACTGCCTCTGTACAAAAGGACAACCTTGCAGGCTGTTGAGTCCAGAGAACAGGTACAGCAGAACTATTCTGCCTGGCCCCCAGCCAAAGAAGCCAAGAGTCCATGTTAGCCCCAGTAACAAGGTTAGACTGGCAACTCCTTTCAAGTCCTGCATGACTCCACTCCTGGTCCCTGCCGGGCTGTTGGCTCGCATACGTCTAATCTGGATTAGAACCACCACAAAAACCTAAGAGGAGATTGAAAAGAAGCCTCAGAGTGGTTGGATTACAGGAAAATGGTAAAAGGGTCAAAAGCAAATTTACACAGTAATAAAGAATGTGTCTAATATGAAGCCACTTTGTTAGATACAACTGTTCAGCTGCTCATTAATGCAAATGTCTAGTCAGCAAATCACATGGCAGCAGCTCAGTGCATTTAGGTATGTAGACATGGTCAAGGCAACCTGTGGAAATTCAAGCTGAGCATCAGAATGAAGATTTCTAATGGTCAGTTCTGATTATCATAATTTGCTATAAACAACATTAAAGCATGGATCCATCCTGCGTTATATCAACAGTTCAGGCTGCTGGTGGTGTAAGGGTGTTGGGAATATTTTCTAGGCACACTTTGGGCCACTTCATACCATCTGAGCATCATTCAAACGCCACAACGCCACGCCACTTGAGCATTATTTCTGACCATCTCCATTCCTCTTTGATCACAGTGTACCAATCTTCTCACGGTTGCTTCCAGCAGGATAATTCACCATGTCAAAAATTTCTGAAAATTTCAAACTGGTTTCTTAAACATGGCAGTGAATTTATGGTTCTTAGATGGCCTCCACAGTCACCAGGCCTCAGTGATCACCAGATAAGGTAAACGTAAGATTGACATCATGGACACGCAGCTGACAAATCTGCAGCAATTGTGTGATGCTGCCATGTCAATGGATACCAAAATGTCTCAGGAATCTTTCCAGCAACTTGTTGAATCTGTGCCACAAAAAATGTTTCTGAGGACAAAAGTTATCCAGTCTGTACTGATTATCAAAAATGTTGCCTGTTAAATCCTGATATAGAAACAAATGAAAAATGTTGAATTTATAAGGAATAAGGAGAACGCATAACAATCTAACAAGTAAAATCTTTAATGAAATGTGGAAATGATTTACCCCAGTGTTGAAGAGAAAGATGAACACAGCGTAGGCAACCACAGACACATAAAATGTCACATCGTCCTGGAGCCAGCAGCTGGGAGGGTGACAAACAGGAAAAAGACAGACGAGGCATTAGTAGATGAGATCAGTGAACACGACGAATGATCAGTGTGGTCGTATTTGAACTAATGAAAACGTGTTTCTGGCTTATCATTCTTGAATCATGTGTTTGGATAGCCTGAGAGTGTAATACCACGTTACATGACTTCCAATATGACATCAGATCAGCTTGATCTGGCTGAAAATAAAATGTGAAGGAAATGGTTTTATCTATTTTTGAAGATTTGTGGTTTTACATCATGGATTTGCTTTTGTAATTGGAGAAAATATGTTGTGATATTCATTTTGTCCAGCTAAGAGATAGATAGAGAGATGGAGAGAGAGAGAGATTCCATGTGGAAGCTGAATGAAACCTTCAACTCTCTTCAGATCATCAAGTATGTATCAAGATATGAAAAATGAATAAAAGATGAATCCAAAACTCACAAGTTATCAGAGTTGTCCAGCAGCTGTAAGGCAGAAGAAGAAGTGTCTGTGTAGATGTGACTGCCGTAGGCCTCTTTGTTCACGATGAGCACCAGGATGCAAATCACCAGAGGAAGCCCTGGATGGAGATTTCAAATACATACAAGGGTATGTACTTACAATGTCATACCCTCAGAAAAATATTAAACAGAAAATATAATTGCTTTTAAAATGAACCCTTTTTGTTGTATAAAAATAGCTGTCTAATGTAATGCACTTTTAGAATTGTTGATGATCATAATCGCTATGAGGCTATAGTTTAGGTGTCACAAGTGTTCGAAAAGCTCCATGTCAGGCAATTTATTCTCTTTATGATTTCAGAAAGAGGGGAAATCATTAATATGGCCCAGTTCCCTCCATCTGCTGTTTAAATTTTGATTTTGTGAGGTGCAGCCAATCAGAAGGTGACCTAAAGGGAGAGGAGCAAAATGGTTTAATACTCTGCACTGGGGCCCAGTATATGATAAAGATTATTTTGGAACCATGACTCATGCAGAGCATCTCTGCTAGAGTCTAACGATCTAGAGATGGACCTGGAAATGAGCATAATGCGTCCCATTAGAGATTTTTATGAGCTGTCATCACACCATATAAGTAATAATGTTTTCTGTGTTGCCATTAACTAAAGTTCAGTCGTGCAAAAATGTGACTCACCCCATCCCAGAAAACAAAACTTGAGCATATAAGAGGGCACGTAGGCGTTGAATACTTTAACAAGGGCAAAGTACATGTTAACGGCCTCTAATCCCATCCAGGTGAATGATGCAAGCAGGAAGTAGTGCAGGGTGGAGGCCACAGCCACGCAGAGAGGGTACAGACCCCAGGAGGACAGCCAGGAGTTGACCAGAAATACCAGATTCAAGCCCAGCAGGGCCAGAGAGAGGTTGATGAGAATCTGAGAGGGGTAATCTCTACGAAGCTTTCTAAGAGAGATATAGACATCGTGGAGAAAGTCGAGAGGTTAGGTACAATGATGCTTTTGTGCTACATGCAGATACACGTACAGAAAAACCTTTAGCAGTGAAGTAAACTCAACAAACCTGAGAAATGCATGCATTAAAATACCACCATGACAGTGAAATTTCAGCATCTCCTTCGCTGCTTTCTAACACTGAAAACAATGTGTGCCTCACTTAAAACAATAGTTTTTCGCATACATTTGAATTGGTGTTGACAGGCCTGTAGTAGCACCCACAGATCTGTGCTGCATGTAAGCAGAAAACGCTTACTCGAAAGCTGTGTACGTGAGAACGGTAATTCCCAAGAAGAGTGACGAGACTCCACAACCAAGATAGGTGATAATGGTCAGGATCTGCTCATTAGCAGGGTCCAGCTGAGTCCTGGCGGCATCCTGGAGACATGGAGACGTTTGGTTACAGGGCTGTATTTTCCAGTGTGCATTATTAGCTCTTGGCTGATCCTGTTCCTAACTGTTCCCATTGCCGTGTGTAAACTTGCATAAAGCCCAGCATCTGTCTAACCACTACTACACTGAAACACTTTTTACTGTCTCTAGCACTTATAGTAAAATTAGTTTCATCATAGCTCAGTGATAAAGTATAGGAATGGGGTTTTATGTATTTTTATTGTGTTTAATTATATAGGGGGGAAAATCTGACATTCATTTATGTAAAGGAAACAACTTGTTAATCAAATAATTTAAAGTGGTTAAAAAAATCCTCTTCGGTAGGCATTCATTACTCTGTAGGCTGAAAGCCACAGAGTAATGAATACGGGACACTGGTCTGCACCACAGAAACCATGGAATAATTAGTGAAATAAGTAAATCTTTTTAAATAAAATGTATTAGAAATTAATTATAGATTTAATACATTATGTATTTATTTCAATTTTTAATTAGTTACAGACACATTTAATTATTTAATGATGAATTTATTCATTTAATTTTGGCGTTCTTGGTACTGAATAGCCCAGGAGGCATTTCTCATATTTATTATTATTAATAATGGTGCAATTGTTGCAAAACAGCAATCCCATTACAGTATATGTTGTCGGGAGTTACTCGAACATAATGAACTGTTTCAAACTTTTCTTTGCAGCAGTTTATTTTTTAAATATTATTCCTTTAGTGCCCTCTGCTGGTTAAGCCTGGTCAAAGCATATTGACACCTCTGCAATTCAGTTTGATACAAGAAAAATAAAAACATAATTAGTAGTGTGTGTATTGTTGCTGCTTGTACTATCGTGCCGTTACCAAAACTTTAAAGTGCTCTGCCAAAATGTGCTTTTTAGGAAACAGAAAAACAATATTAAAGTAGTAGTTTGTACCAGAAGAACTCCAAAGTGTGTGAGATGATCACACAGGCAGGTTGTGTAGTAAGGGCTGCTGTTGTATTTCCGACATCCATAATTGTCCCAGTCTCCTTGTCCATCTGCATGAGAAGAGTAACGTTTAATGTGGCCCGCTTCTTCCAGAGTTGATTTGATTTGGAAGAATAGGACTGAGATCAGGACGTACTGTTTTTGTTGAAGTTCCAGTACACACACTCGACCTGCTTGTAAGGCTTAATCAGAGACAAAAGAAACATTAATGCATTCATTAATTAAAGGTGCTTTCATTACATGCAGTGTATATTGATAGAAACAACCTCTCCTACTGTGTTTGGTATAAGATGTTGGAGTGTGACTTCAATATCTTCTTCCAGGTCTTTGATTGGACAGCTGGCGTTGGTCACACTGGCTGCCACCACAAAAGTGTTGAGGGTCTGATCTATTTGTCTCCCCTGAAATTAAAACACAGTATATATGAATAACATGTTTCACTAATAAGCATCTAAGCACAATTTGTTTGTTTAAAAATCTTGACAAATAAGTGGCTTCATAGAAAATACCACCTTAAAGAGCGACGCGATGGCGTAGAACTGAAACTGGATTCTCGGTGGGGTCTGATTTAGGGCTTGTTGGGGGAAGCAGTGCTGCAGGGCAGATGGGAGGGAGATGAAAGCCAGTGTGCTGTTGAGGGGATGCCTGTTGATAAAAATCTATAAAGACAAATTTTCTTAATTCTTTTTAAAGCTCAGGCAACATGTTTCAGCTAACAGCACTGTTGATTTCTGAGATGCACTGCAGACAATTTAAGCAGCATTAATACGGTAAGTACAGACTCATCTGTATGTTTGCTTAAATATCGCCAAAAAAGACAATGTTTAGTGTCCGTTTCAAGCTGCTGCAAACAGCACTGTTCAAAGCAATGACTGTAGAAAAGCTTACAGTTATTGGTTCAAAGTAGCATGTTTTATTCCACATGTGTAAACCTTTTGTAACACCTGTTCACCTGCTTCTTAATGCAGAAATTCAGTTTTATTTATATAGTTCCAGTTGACAACAACACTGGCCTGTAGGCACTTTATATTATAACATAAAGACCCTACAATATTAGAGAGGAACCCCAACAAACACAGGACTGCCCTATGAACAAGCACTTGGCAACATTGGGATGGAAAAACTCCCTTTTAACAGGAAGAGACCTCCAGCAGAACCAGGCTCAGGAAGAGGAAGCAAGCTGCTGAGATGGAGAGAGATGGGGCAAATGACAAAATATTAAATCAGCCAATCACATGGCAGCAGCCTTGTAGACATAGTCGAGTAGACCTGCTGAAGTTCGAAGCAACAGAATGAGGAAGAAAATTTACAGAGAAATTTTGCCGACCTCTGTTTTTTTGCCGGTTGCATCAGACGCCACTCCAATCATTAAACTGTTAAACTCTCCAGGAACTACATCCACCACTGCGATACCGATGGCTGGAGCGACCAGGGTGGAGGAACCCTCATAACCCACTATCCTGTCTCCCATTGCTTCTGTAATATTCAGGATGCTGGAGAGAAAACAGAAGATTTTAGTGTCCCCACATCGGATTGTTGGAAAAGTTTATTTCTCGTTCTGCACTCATTCCTTACTTGTTAGTAAAAGGCACCAGGTTGCTCTCAGATTTCAGTATGTTTGAAATAATGTTGAGAAGAGCTTGGCCCAGCTCTGGTGTGACCACGCTGACGTTAATGATGTCCTGCAGCTTGTCGAGGACTATCGTCAGTTCGTCATAGTTGAGTGTGGAGTGGTTACTCAGTAAAACTTCAATCATATCCACCACATCCTGAGCATTATCTGGAAGTTAAATGGCACAACTTGTGAAACAGGCATTTTTATCCCATTCTAACTTGTAACACAGCATATGTCTAATATGTAACAGGGTTTATGTTGGAAATACAGATGTTTGGGTAATTTTAGAGCTGGGGAAAAAAGTCTGTGACTGACCGGCAGTTACGTTGACAGGGTACAGGTCAGGGATGGTCTCCACCACTGGACCACAGTCTTCCAGCTCTGGAGCCATCCAATGGGTATTGAGCTTGCCTTTACTGTCAAACAGAAGGTGGACAGAGGGAGAATGCATAAAAAAAATCTGCAGAGAGTAAAATCTTTAACCTTTTTTAAATTTTTCATCATCTAGTTATACTGCCACCTCAGCATGTTGCATATCAACATTTGCTAGCCGCACTCTTACTGGAAAATAAATGGCATCGGCTAACTACCTGACAACGGAAATGAGGTTAATTCGATGGATTGGGGACATTATGTGAGACCTCACACAGCTGTGAGACATTTTGATTCTGAGAATTACCGATCATTTAACCTCTCATTAGTGACACTGAGGTCTTGATTAATGCATTTACAGCAGAGCCATCACTGAGTGTTGTGACACTGAGTCAACACGCAGTCTTTAGAACAGCAGTAAAGCCATATAAATGTATACCAACGGATGTGATTAATACTCAGACTCGTACGTATCCATGTGTTAAATTTATCAGCCAGCCAAATACATAAAACACACAGCACACTTCAACTGTAAACATGAGGACAAATGTCAGAGCATGTGTACTTTAGCAGTGTTGGTCTAATAAATCTTTACTGCTGGATTGATTTCCATTACTTTAGCTGCAGACATCCAGGGCATCAAGAGGATGAAGCCCAGTAAAAACATTTTTATGTTTTTTCACTAGTAAAGGTTTATATTGTTGAGTAGACAAATCCAGCAGCCCTGATAAATCTAAACTTTTAAAAAAAGTCACCTACATAGATGACGAAACCCACAGATTCATTGCAACGAGTTGCCCAGCAGTCTTTCACACTATGCTGCTTTTAAACTCAACCATGTCACTGACCTGTTGCCATTTAATCGCATATTTTGTGAGATGTTTCACTTGGACTACAAATGAAAAATGATTAACAGTCCGAGCTCTCACCAGTGTCGAGTGGCGTAGTGGTCCGGGTTCTTTGGGCACGTTTGATTGGCAGTTTCTCCTCCTGAAGTTTCAGGCCACACAAACAGGCCTTTCAGGGTTTGGCGGATTTCTGCATTGCACTTAAACGACACTGGAACAGTGAGATGTTTGAGAAAGAGATCAAAATGAGAAGATTTTCAGGACTGGGTCCCCCCCCCCCCCTTTTTTTTTTTGAACTCACGTATCTGGCTTATCTCTATGTCCTCAGTGAGTATGGAGATGGACCCCTTATTATAAGGTGTCAGCAGTATGTTTCGTATCCGCTCTTCGATTTCATGGATGTCTGACGGCATCATGACTTGTACCTGGAAAATACAGCTCTCTCTTCTGGAAGTAACAGAGCTAAATATGGTTTGCAGAATGACAATGGGCTCATGTACATAGCAAATATAACATCACGATGTTATACTTTTTTAATATTACCTGCGTAAAGGCAAATAAAAATGAACAAAGTAGCAGCCAGTTTCCTCCTCCTCCAGTCAGAATTTCAATTTTTTTGTTTATTGTAATCAGTTCTAACTAAAATTGTATGGAGACACACGAAGCTTACCTTGAAACTGTGTCTGCTAATACCTGGGAAAGAGTAAAGAAGATGAAGATGAAGCTTTCAGGGGAGAAACAGCCTTTTGGTTTAAGAAGGCACTGACACATTTTTTATGCTTACTTACTCTGATAGGGTATTCTGACTGCAGCTTAGGATGATTTCTGGAAGTGAGATCAGTAACTTAAGTTGTTTAAATTGAAAGACCTTTGCGTTCATCAGAATGTGACATATTTCTGGAACTGGGTGAGTTGGTGAGTGGTACTCTACCTTTGAGCTTTGGGGACCAGCTGAAATTCAAGCACTGTCATCGAGTTGTTTGGTAGGCTATTGTTGAGCTGTGAAGAGGAAGTCAGCATTCATTTTACTGTATTACTTCTGCTGTCAGGATTTTACACCCCTATATTTAACCAGGTGAAGGAAAAATAGTTTCCTGTATCTTAAAATAAGAGCTTAGGTGTTCTGTAAGACGTACCCAGGACCTAAGGATCTGTTCTGAGTCACAGCCGCCTGTTATGGACACGTTCACCTTAACCTGAAAATACAGTTCTGCAAAGGAAATTGAGACAGATCAGAAAGTTTTCACCAAGTAATTTATGATGTCAGATGAACCGTAATGTACATGCAGTTGTGAAACTGACCGGAGACATTTTCAGGGTTTGTGGCAATGGTCGTAGGCGTGGCTACAGTAGTAGAACTTGTACTTGTGATGATGCTTATGGTTGGGGGTCTAAATTCGGTGGTAGAAAAGGGTGTGGAGGATGGTATTGTGGTTGTAGAGGTAATATTTGTCACCGGAGAAGGCTGTGTCATCGTACTGGAGCTGCTGGTATCAACTAAGAAACCATCTGGAAGATGCATGTCAGAGACCCACAATGAGTTTTTCTGCAAATGCTTCACAAAACCGCACACGTACAGTGCTTTAAAAATTGGTTAGACCAGCACACAATGAACGGTTTATGCCACGTCTACTTTAAATTAACAATATCTGTTATTACAAAAGTGTTGTTTCTGTAATGGTTAGTCCAAACGCTTCAATCAAAATGATATTTGTTCATGTTAAAATATAGATAAATATATAAAAACGGAACTAAATAGAAAAACACCCTTAAAATTTCATTTATTTCATTACTAATTAGATAAATTAATTTTTGTGATTGAACGTTATGCACTCAAGAAAGTCCAGTTTGTCGGCTAAAATTTGGGAATATAAATGTGAATTCAGTTTGATATTCATCCTCTGTGTCTGCAGAAAAGCTGGAGAACATTAAAAACTTGTAAACTTAAACTGACTGGTTGTTGGTGCATATACCAAGGTAATGACCTAAAGCTACTGCAAAGCTTTTCAGAGATTATTTGACCAAGAAAACAGAATCTGGAAAACTTGGGATTTATTGGATTCAAATAAAGATCACACAAACGTTTCATCCAAAGCAAGTTTCTGGAAAGAAAACTATTAAAAACTATTTGCAACAAAAGAGACTTTTGAAAAATACCAAATTTTAAAAAACAAAGCAAGACCAGGAAGAAACTGTTATGAAAGCCAAATGAGATTATAAAAAATATAAAGTTTTTTTTGGTTATTATGTACGAATAAGAACTATAATTAGTTTTTATTAACTATTATCGGCTTCTGTTGAGAATTATTTCCTACCGACAGGTGTGGTGTGTATGTTTTCTGCATCAGCCCACAGCTGTAACAAACCACTGGTGTCGTTGTAGGGATTTTTAAGCCTCGTGGCTATTAGAGACTGCACATCTGCCACATCCTCAGCAGGGATGACATTCACATATACGTTGCAGCGAAAACTACAAGGAAGACACAAAGTCATGGTTTAGATACCGCGTTCTTATTCTCTTCTACAACAATGCTTTTCAGGTATTTCGATTATTTTGGGCTCTTTAACCAAAGTTAAAGCCCAACCAAGGGTTTTTTTCTATTAAGATCAATGTTTTTCCCAGATTATAAAAATTTGGCAAAATTTAGAAGCAAAGAATTTTTTGTTTTGTTTTATTTACAAATGAAAGAAACCTGTCTGTACATTTTTTAAAAAAAAATAATTTCAGATAGAAATCACACAATATTCTGGGAACTGTAACTCTCTACCATATTACCTGTTGACACTGGAGGGACTGAACCGCATCTGAAGAATAGAAGAACATTTGATACGTATGAAACAAGATGCTGATAAAGATGCTGTCCAGGTCTTACACTCCTACTGTCCTACTGGCCAAACAGACACAGCTATATTTGCATTGAGATGACATCCCCTCATACATACATCAACCTGGTGCATCAGTTGAGCTCTCATGTTCTTACCAGCTCGTCTTCATATGGTGTTTTTACGAGGTCTTCTGTATTGGATCTGAAAATAAGAAAATCAAAGAAACTCAGTAACCTTCTGGCACATTTGTTCCTCCCCTCTGACATGTACTATAAAACAAGATTTAATTGTGTGACACACAGTGAGATTCAAATGAATTTTATTGCAAATGTAAATCATCTCCTACCTGGATAGTTCAAACACAGATACTATGTGTAAATAGATGTGGCTCGGCAGCTCCTTTCTGAGCTGCAGGAACAACAAAGAGCAGAAGGCAGTGTTATAGCTGCTGAGATTTACTGCTGCTGAATAAATGTAAAGTAAAGTCTGCACAGTATAATGAAATCCAAAGCAGCAGGGTCTGGAAGTCTGACCCTACACACCTCTGCCAAAGCTAAAATTTCCCGCCACAGCACGCACAAAATCCCTGGATCCAAAACAATATCTGGATTGAGTCTGTGAAATTCTCTTCAGAATATATATTTTTAAAAAATGCTCTAAATTTATCTTATTTCCGTAATTTATGGATTTATGGAGATGTGATTTCGCTCTGTCTCACGATGGTAAAGATTTTAAAACTGGTAAAAAGAATTTGGACCAAATGAGGATCATGTTTGGAGTTACTCACAAATCCATTGATAACTTTTTGATTAAAACGGTGAATGAAAACAAACAAACGGAATAAATAACATGAACTCATTGGTAGAGGTAATAAAAATAATTCTTCTTATACCAGTTTTTCAAGAATTTAAAAATAGATGAATAAACCTTTTTTTTTTTTTAAGTTTTTATTTGTTTTACCCATTGATGTGCGATGTCTCTGGCTGTGTAGATCTCAGTTTTGTTCTCATCCTGACGAATAATAGTAATTATCAGTTTCACTTGGTAAATGGACCATGCTGCCAAAGAGAACATAAAACTGCATTAAATGTTTGTAGATTTCATTTAAGACCATAAAAAACCAAGAGTGATAACGTTCAAGCCTACTTCAGTGTGTATATTTATTTATTTATTTTTTTTACAGTTTGACAGATTTTTTTCTTTATCTTATCAATATTTGAACCTGACCAATATATCACTGGGCTCGAAAGTAAAGGAGAGACGGGAGAAATTGTCATATTATCTTAGTGAGGACTCATAAATAACTACAGATAACAAATGCTGAGAAATCTCTGGGTTATTTTTGTCTGAATAAAGAAAAAAGTATCAGTCGATATATCGTATTATTGAATCACTAAATATTGGTATCAGTCTTAAAAATCCCCACATCACTCTGCCTCTATTTAATAATGGCTGCTTATTATTATAAACCAGTAGCTCTCAAACCTCAGAAGCCTGGAGAGTAAAATGACTTTACAGCCTACAGCCCACCGTTTCCATCAATCATTAACAATTAAAAGGATCCAAGTCGGACTTGACGTAATTGAAAGTCTGTGTAAAAGCATCAGCATTTTCATTTTTCCTAAAAAAAAAATAATTTATTTAGCTTAGTTTCACCAGCATCCACCTGGTGTGTCTCCCCGCCCCACAACTGCGACCTGCCCCATAGGTTGAGAACCACAGTCATAAACTATATATTTTGTATTACGATATGAAGAAAAGATCAAACTGTATTTTTTCCTATCTGCACTGACCTAAAACTGGAGCAGCGCTTTCAGCTAGAGGGAAAGATTCATGTGGAACTAATACTGCGTTTTTCATATGGCTGAACAGACTGTGTGAAAGGAATTTTCTTATGTAAACTAAGCTTTATAGTGCTATGAAAGAGGATTAGGGCCAGTGAAAGAAAAAAATCTTTGGGGGTCATGAGTTCTGACTTCTTCCATATTTCTGAGAAAAACTGGAATGGTTTTTTTTTTTCCATAAAATTCCTGCATTTAGTAGCCAAGAAATTAGAATCATTAATAAGTAAAAGTGTCAACATTTATCAGCTTATTGAAACTATAGACTGTTCCAGTTTTGTAGAGATGAAACAAGCTGCTTGATTAATGCGTCTAATTTTCATGTAATTGATTATAAATTTGTTTTTACATTTACTTAACTGCCAAATAGACAGGTGGTGAGTATTTAATGCGAGGGGATACACCAGAGACAGCCAACAAACTATCGCTGAGGCTGGAAAAAGCTTGATGAATGTGGCATTTACTGCAGTAAAATAAAATCAGATGATAACGGCAAAGGTTTGAAGTGAATGCTCACTGCATTTCAGGCTGCGATCTTGTAGTGGAGCACAGATCTGAGTGTCCCAGTTGTTTCTCTCCCACTTCACAACATCCCCCTCTGTACAGTTCATTGATGCCACTTCCTTGCTGCTGCGTTCTCTCCCCCACATCCGAAACAGAGAGAGTTTTCCTGACACACGGGATATAGGAATGATCTGTATGTTTTTGTTTACAATGAAGTGTCCTGATCCCAGAGTGAGCGATCCACTGGGGGCCAGTGTGGAGCACGAAGAGGAGGCAGAAGAAGCAGCTCCATAGAGGGCTGTGAGAGAGGGAAGGCATACAAAAGGTGGTCAAGGAAAGACTAAAAAAAATCACTGAAACAGCCAAGGCAGGTTTTCCATTTCATTTTCAAAAAAGTGAATGTAGCTGTAGACCGCATTCATTTAAGACGTCATGAGCAAAAATACAAGACAGCAATAACTCTTGATAGTGACCTTTGTAAGCAGATTATCACTTGATGCAACCATGTTATCAATATATAAATCATCGAGATGTTCCAGCCAGACAATTTTTAGATAATAGACTGAAAAGGAGCACCTGCATTCAGTATTGCCTGACAGCCTGTGTAGGAAAATCAGAATCAGTTACAGGAGAAAACTGAGAGGATCAGACTCCTAGATCCCAAAAGCCATTTCTAAAAAAAAGATCTTTATTTCTTCACCAATTTTTCTTTTTTCGATCTTTCTTACTGTTATCTTTCAGTATTCAGTCTGTCTTTCCTTTTTCTCTTTTTTTGTGCTCCTTTTAGATAAGATAAGGAAAGCAATCGAGGATCTACAATCTGAGAAATTCAATTTTTAAAAAAAGGAACTTTATGACATATGGTAAGGGCCCTACAGTATTACAGCAAGAACCTCAACCATCACACATTTCCCTATGTGCTAACACTTGGCAACTGTGGGGAGGAAGAACTCCCTTTTAACAGGAAGAGACCTCCAGCAGAACCAGGCTTAAATAACACAGAGTACAAAACATAAACTGTCAAAACATTCCATCATGAGGTTATAAAAACACAGCTAAAAGATGTGGTGCACATCAATGGTGCTAATAACAAGCTAGAGAAGCCAACAATTATAACTGATTATTTTTAGGGGATTGTTTATATTCATAATTGCTCCCCTTGCTTTAGGATTTTTGTTTCAATCCCTGAGAGGATATACAACACCCAGTGCAACAAATACCTAAGCTGACGGGAAAAAACATATAACACATAACCCAGTTTTTTTTAATCACTCAGAAAGGGAGAAAATTTTAAATATATACAGCAAGCCTGTAACATATTGTTGGCCTTTTATTTAACAAGTTTATGAGCAAACTCATTAAATCTGTGACCAGTTTGTAACATAAAAATGTCTTTTAACTTGATTTAAATAATCCCAGAATAAAATGAGGCTTTTAAAGAACACACGATGAGAGGAAACCCACCTGCCGTGAGCTTCAGCAGGGTCCCTTTAAGGTATAGGGCAGGTCTGTCTTTCGTATGTGACCAGGTCAGGCATAGTGGGTACCACTGTGACTCAAGGAGGACGATCTTCTGGGTCCTCCACTCCACGCCAAACAACCAGACCACTAAATGTCCCGCCTTAAACCCCAGCCCCAGCTCAGCATACTGTGCCTTTGGATGTCGGTACATAAAGGCGGTCCACGGTGAGGAACCTCTGGTCTAGACATGTTTGGAGTTAGTGAGATTTCATTTCTTTAACTGTTCGGCACCTTTAAAAATATCCCTGTGACAGTTAAACCAGTTGTAACTGGAGGACATTTATCATCAGTACCTCCTCTAGATTCAGGTAGAAGCAGACTGTGAGCTCTTGCAGGGCGGGGATGGTGATCTGACGCTTTAGTGTCCAGTGGCTGCATCCCGCAGTGAATTCAGCCACTTCCCCCCACAGGCTGAACGTTGGCACTGAGAGGAAAATACATCGTTTTTATAAAAAAGTGCTTCCACAGCAGGAAATCTGAACAAAGGGAGAAGGTTTTACCTTCAGAACCTTCTGGACGTTACGTAACTTTCCTATTACAATACTGAATGCTGTTTATTGATCATGTATTCTAATTTATTTATGAGATCATGAGACTGTCTTTCTGGATGGATGGATTTCCTGATCATTGGACAATGTCCAAACTTTGTTGTGTATTTTGGTTGGAAATTAGCAGTGGATGTTGATAGATCCACTGGTAGATTTTCACCATACATTGTTGTGGAAGCAAATCACTTTTGGAGCTTCTTAACTGGTTTTGCTGGGTATTATATGAAAAAAGAACATTTTTCATTCCTGAAAGGAGTGTGTAAAGTCTGGTTTTTAAGTAATTAAGACACTTAATTCAGCTTCTGCATTGAGTTTAATCCTTTTTCAGTTCTAGTTAAAACTGAGCGTTGTCGCAGTGTGTTGGGAAACCTCAATTTTGTTCATATTTAAACAGGGTTGTTGTTTTTTTCTTTGGTTTGTTTGTCTGTTGAAACGAAATATGTTTTGAATTTTTCATCTGAATTAAATAATTACTATATTATTGAAGTGTTTGAACTGTTTTATGCATAATGTCCCATTTTTAGAGGTTCCTAATTTATTGGACAATTGACTGGCAGGGAGGTTCTGTTCTCTGGTTATTAAGCAGCAAAAAGAGTGGAGTTTATTCCAGGCTTTTCAGTGAAACTCCATTATTGGGCTGAAAAGGCAAAACAGCCCGGTCAGAGAGACAGCAAAAACTTTAGTAGTAATCATTCTTACAAAGCTTGCATGCACCAACCAACTCACCAACAACAAAAAGCCAGAAAGACCACAAAAAGCAACGAAAGTTGAATTATTTCCATGATTATTTCCTAAAAGAATTATTTCCATGGTTAAGAAAAACAGCCTTAAAACATCTAACAAAGTAAAGAACACTCGATGAGGGGTTGGGTGGATCTACCAGTCCAAGAGACATCTTCAAAAGACCTCTAGTTACACTCAGGAAGCCCTTTTTCATACTTTAGACTCAAAAGATAGAAAACATCTAAAAGAGCTGGCACAGCTCTAAAAAAAATCCACCTTTATAACACTTAAAATTCTGTGAGTCCACGTACCTTTGAACATCTGAAAATGGGGGACTGTATAAAAATTCCTCAAAGTTAATTCAATGCTTTTGTTAACATTGAATTTAACCCATAGATTGTTTGATTTGAAAC